TCTGCTTCTTGCCACAGCTCCTTTTTCAGAAAATTCTACATTAGCTAATACTTTGTCATCATCCACATTACCCCGTTTCACGAGGGAGTAAGTGCTAGTCTGTAGCAGGCAAGTTACAGATTGGGTTCTAGATTTAGGTATCTACATTTTGTTATGGGAAAGAAATGTCTTGCGCAACAGCTGGGCTACATGAGCATCATTTTAGTGCAAATCAGTATGAACAGTACACATTTTTGAGAAAGCTGCAGCTTTCTGAAAGTGTTATTTTTTCGTTTTGTGCTGCTTTGATAGACTACTAATTATCTCCTACATTTCACAGTGGCTATTGTGATTTTTTCACAAGCACTAAAAAAAGGAATGGTTGCTATCTTTACGAGAAGCACTTTTGTAGAAAATATTTGTAAAACTGAAAAACAAACCTAATCTTGATGAGTAAATGACACATACTGTTTCTGACACCTTAAACGAAGGAGGTAGATGCCCAGAGCCCCCTTTTTGTAACTTTTCCTGCCCCGGCTCTGCCATCATCTTCATTCTTGCTCTTTATGCTACTTCACAGAGCGCTTCTACAGAAGGACGACACATCCAGTTTTGTGGCAATGCATTTCAGCCTTATCTCAACTGGGCAAGATAACTATTCCTAAACAATTCTCAAGTGCACATAAAATCATGAGTATTATGATGTCTGGACTCAATAGGTCCAGTATTAACATATCAATATGAAAACCTGTTTTCTTCGCTTTTAAAATTTAAAACAAAACACTTCTTGCTCCATGTAAGGAAAGCAACTTTTTCCATTCAACACAACTTAAAAATGTATGTGATATTACATGTAATTCCAAAGCTCCAGATTACATACTTCTTCCAGCTCCCTGTAATCCTCAATTTTTAGGGACTAAACACTTAAGACTAAACATCAAGAGGGATATAGACAGCCATGCTCCACGCTGCAGCACATATATTTTTTATAATCTGCTGCCTAATAAATTCTTCATCCCTGACTAAGATCATGCTCATCCAAGCCAGCAAACTGGTTAAAATGAGAACTCCAAAAATCGTCAGGTTCAGGAGGTAAAATAGCCAGCGTAGCCAAGAGTTAAATTCTTGCACTCAGAAGATAATGCACTTAAACCTTCATAACAGGGAAAGAGCATGTTTGTTTTCTGTTTTGTTTCCTCTCCAGCACCAAGGAGAAAAAAAAAAAAAAAAATCAAGGTCACTTAGCTCGGCCTCGTATAAGGAAAACCTGAGAAGAAAATTGGCACTATAACTAACCCCACCACTGAAGCCACTAGTCTGATCTTCTGGACACCGAAATTAATAAGGAAGATTATTTTCTCCTTCTGCAAGATAGCCTTCACTGTGGGACCTTTAAAAGTCTACAATAATAGACAGCACCTGAGGCAGAGCTTTGAAGATAGAGCTGCTTTGTGCACCAGAGATTACAATTAATATGGGGGGGGGGGGGGGATTTAGCCTTGGTTATGACATTCTGATGCTTTGTCTAAAAAGGGATTTTTCCTTTCTTAAATGTTTCTTTACCCTATTATTAAATGTGTTAAATTTTACAAACAACTGCAATAGTAGGAACTTGGGAACATATAAAAATATTTGTTAAAAACCCCTTATGTTTGTTTGAAATGAAAGTGAAATGCAAGACTGACTTAGGTGTACTGTGAGAATGAAATGGAATTTAGGTGGTTGAATCCAAACCGGAAGTTTTTCAAAACCTTGTATTACTCTGCTGTATCCTGGAACCTGAAATGTCTTAGTCCTTAGCCCTCCCCTTCAAAGCTTTTGTCTGAATTTTGGCTTTTGAATGTTTCCAGATGCATCTAATTTTCTTAAAGTCTGAGTTTCCCAAGAATAGGGGAAAAGCAGAAAAAGTGAGAATTAGATGATAGCATATAGACATTGAAGTCACATCAGTAAAAACAGTAGAGATGTAAAAAGAGTAACTAATATGTTTAAGCAACTAGGAGTCACACACCTTTATTTTTTTTACAAGTAAAAATTTTGACTAAAAATATTCCATAATTGAGACTAGCCAAAAGCATTGGATATACTGACCGAGCTCCAAACCTGCTTGATTATTCCACATATGAGGTGGCTTGGGATTGACAAACATGTTTTCCCTGAATCTAAGACCCTGAAAATTTGATTCGGTGTCTGTGGTCAGACCACAGCTAGTCTTGTGCAAAAAATAAGGAGAGGGGGAGGTATTCTGTTTCTGCTGTTGGGATGAAGTGTCTTTGCATCGGTGAATACATGATGCATACCCTGAGGAACAGTAAGCAATGGAAACAGAACGATCAGTTGTCATCTAGGCAGGGTAGTGGTGTGAGCACTAGTTTTCAGTTCCTGCTCCCAACACTAAATATTTAATATACCAACACTACTATTTAATAGTAAATGCTGACATAGTTGGCGTATTCTCCATGCCAGACAGATGATAACCAATAAGCTTATAAATTGTGACGTACCTTCTGTTGCTCACCCTCAGGTTTATTAAACAATGCAATTTTTCCCTCACCCAAAAAACCCTAAAAAACGGGGGCAGGGGGGAAGGAAGGGCAGGGCAGGGCAGAGTGCCCACTTTCCAAGATAGCCTGCATCCTTCTGGTTCAGTTGCTCTTCAGGCTTAGGAGGAAATTCCCCCACTTGCTGGACAGGCAGCCTAGTCAAGAAGGCTTTTATATACAAAACAGATTTCCATGCTTTCCATGACCTACAAAGAGAAGGGTTCTAAGCTGTGGATTCTGAGTGAAAAAAAGAGACCCTTAGACCTAAGACAAGGGAAAGATTATTTGGAGGAAAAAAAAAAAAAATAAAGAAGAAAAAAAAGACAACAGCTTATTAACTGGCCTCATTTAGGTGTCTGTTTTGAAACCTAAATGTTTGGATTCCATTTTAGCCACCAAACCCTCCCCATGGTATACATGGGTTTGAAGGTAGGCTTTAAAGCCTAGGGTTAGTTGTCAAACTTTCTAAATCCATAAAGAAGTTATTTTTCTTGGAAGGTATAGAACATGCAGTCCTAGATATTCTTGAGGAATCCTAATCGCTTTTCCATGCTTGCACAGAGTTTAGTTCCCTTGTTCATGTGCTGTAACAAAGTCTAAGAATGAAATTTGAGGTACAGGGATGCTGGCTCTAGGCAGTCTTCAAGCCTCTCTAAAAAAATACAGATTTTACAACTTAGAAAGTTCTAGGGCAAAACAGTACATTAAAATTAGTCCAAACAAATTACTACGGTAAAGATAGAGAAACACGTAAGTCTTTAACATACTATGAAATTAGCATGTCTTTTCCTCTAGCTCCACATTACAACCGCTTTTTGCAATCTGAACTTCTGGTTTACACACACAACTATGCTATTATCTTAGAAAAGAGAAGCTGTTTTAACTGATAACAGCATTTCTAAAATAGCCAATTTAAAGAAAAATAAATAAGCTTAGTAGTTATAACAGAAGGGAGAAGAGGGTACATTTTAACACTGCTGTTATTGAAAATCCTGGCACAGACGGAGTGCATAAAAAATACATCTTGGTAAAGGTCTGAATAAAAATTTTGCTAGCACACAGCTGCTTTTTTTTTTTTTTTTTGTTTACTGTCATACAGGTCTTTTGAGCACAAATGAGATGCCAGAACTGCATCTACTTGTCTGCCAGTATAAAGTGGAAGTCTTTCTACATTGCAAGTTCTTCCATGGGCACATACTACTATTGTCTTGCTCTCAAAACAAAATAGAAAAAGTAAGGAAAGGCACACACAGTTAAAAGCAGAGATCGCATTTGAAATAAAAAGAAGTACTCAAATACCATTCTTCTTTCTGACTCTATCAGTACACAAGTTCTTCACCTTTAGAAGTAGTTAATAAGCAAGTTTAGCTGTAATTCTACTTAGAGAGAATATAGCCCTTTTCATTTCCCATTTTCTCAGGAACAGACGCAACAGTTGTCAGTTACTTTAGTCACAAATCAAAGTCTCTTTTATAGCTAATACACTGGACTTAAAAACTCCCTCTCTTGGCTCCTTCCTAATGGGGAGCTGAACACACTTCTCTGACTCTTTCCTGCCTTTTCTGCATGTTCAGCCACGGGATGCCAGCCCATCCTTCTCCACTGTCAATATGCAATTGCAGCTTTATTTTGGAAGACAGACAACCAGCAAATACGTACATCAGCTTGATATAACTTAAGAGACATAAGAGAATTATTGAAAACACTAGATATTTACCTAGCGACAGGTTATAAGCACCTAGTTTATAAATGATAATTATAACGTGTTCTGTTATAAATTAATATTATTAAAACTGAGTATGTTTTTTCAACCATATGACCACTCTGTTATGTTCAGACAGGGCACATACTGTACAGGTTTCGCTTGCTAATCAACAACCGACCACAACTGCATCCCACCAGATGAAATCTACTTAATCGCAGGAACGGAGCTTCATCACTTCCACTGGAAATTTATAATTCAGGGTGGTTGACCGGAGAAACTGGTCCCATCTGAAAGGCTGCAAGTGGGAGCAACTCAAGCCTGTCAGTGGGGGCTGTTGATAGTTAAGCACATTGCACTGTACAGAAGCTTGGAAAATAAAGACAGACAACTTGCCTAAGATGTTAGTGCTTATTGAGCAGCGATAGTTGGCAGCCCTGCTATCTTCCACTGGAAAGTGGTATTATCTCCTCCATCATCTTGCACTTCACCAGCAGCTCACAGCATGTAAGAAGACCCAGGCTCTAGTATAGTACAGTATTGCACTGGAGAACTACCCTTGTGCCGAGTAGGAGATGTAGGCCACAGAAGTGGTTTCACATAAGGAACAAAAGATAAACTTAGACATAATCTTTAACTCTTCCTCTGTATAATTTACTTTAGAATGGAAAGCAGAGATTAAGGTGCAAGGCTGGGAATAGAAGCAAGTGCTTTTGAGACCCAAAGGTTACTCTAAGTTTGGATGGAGTCATCCACTGGCAAACCATTCTACATACCTTAGCGGGATGGGGATCAGAATTAGTTTCTCAAAGGGCAGACTCTTCGGTGGGGCCACACCACACTGATCTGGAAATGGAGGAAGGATTGAGCTCGGCAAATTGGAAAGAATACCATTTTCAGTTGCTTGTTTTTGTGTTCTGCCCCGCCCCTCCTTTCCCATAGATATGTCTTCAAGACAATTAATTCTAAACTAGCATAAGCCTTTTTCCCCCTCCCTAAAGCACCACGTCAGTTGTCTAAGTTCCAAAATCCTTCTTTCAGGGAAAATAGAAGTGATTTCCATTTGCCTAAGTATATTTATGACTAAAAGTTTTGTTGTACTTTTTCATGGATTTAAGTAATAGGACTCAGCATCCTTACTAAGGCAGAAAAGGACAGGGTGTAGTTAAGTGACACGAGCAGGCACACACAAGCATCCCCTCACCGTTCTACAATATGCATCTGATTCCGCCATATGCGTCTCTGCTGTTCTAACACAGAGATTATCTTCAGAGACCAAAATGTACAACTGTTTGCGCAGCAACAATATACACAGATTATTTTTAGTTCAGACATGTGGCACTACTCACTGTGCAGCTGCTTTCATGCATTAATGCATTGTGATACAAAACCCTAACTGCAAGAACCCAAATTAATTGCAAGCAATGAGACATTTTGGACTGAAACCCCCTTTTGGCTACATTGGAATCAAGTTGTTGACTTTTCAAGCTAAAAGAGATATGAATCATGGAAAATATTTCATTCTTAACCCCTCAAAGTACCCAATATTCCTGAACTAATGCAAAATGCAGTTATGTGTTGGCTTAGAAATTACAACTTCTCTGCCAAAGGTTAATTTAGACTATTCATCCAAGATTAGTTGCAAGTTTTTAAAACTGTAAATAAATTCTTGTTCCTAAACAGCACAGGTTTTCAAAGCAGGGAGTATAACCCACAGCCTATAAAAGGAAAAGATTTAAAGCAGAAATGGGACATTTGACTTCTGCATATTTGGAACATTTAATCACCCTCTTGGTTATATGGAATAAGTTAGACTGGCAGCTCTTTCTTCAGCTCCCTAGTGAAAGTACGTTTCTTTAATAGAGCCTTAATGCGCTGTAGGATGATTTAGAGTCTAGTTCTGCATCTTTCACAGACAACAGTAGAACTCCTCTTTGTTTCAGGAGGGAAGAGGCCCAAGGATTGTAAATGCCTGAAGGTATGGACCGTAACTTTTCTCCTGTTTGAACAACAGTGTGCGCATCATTTCACATGCACATTACAAGATATTAATGTACATATAAACCCATTAATATTAGAATTAGTAGGATGATTTTAATCTCATTCTATCAAGGAGAGTTATGCAAAATTTAAGCTGTTTTTAGCTGTAAGTGCAGGGGAAAAAAAAAGTCTAAGGTATTAAAGGATGTTCTCAGGAATTTATAGCAGTATAAGAAATGCAGCTGGGGAGGCAAAGTACTTTGAGACCTAGGTCTCAGACAAGATTTGGCAGATTTGGCTGTGACACTTCAAAACACTGATGCTGTCGAGTCACCTCATACTGCTCCTTTGCTGCAGACAATTGTCCACATCACATGAACATCCTGAGTCTGCCTTACACAGTATAATCTTAACACACATTTGCATTCACTGTCAGTTTCACTCAATTATTCATGCTGCCAATTACCGTACTAAAATAAGTGTGCGTGTGTTATTCTGTTGTCCTGACCTGCAGAAAAAAAAAAAAAAAAAAAGGATAAATCAGGTCCCTGAACTCTCAAAACAGCCACACCCCTATCCACCAGAGAATCCTGTGTAGTTTCATCTCATTTTCACATTTCTTTTCCATCTCTGAAATTTCTGTGGGCACATGTGAGAGCACAATATTTTAAACCCATTTAGATTGTAAGCAAATGTGGTTTTGACAGATTCACCTCTGACTCAAGCAGTCTGAGGCTTCTTATTTATGGTTAAAATGTAAGTTTAACATTAGAAACAATATAATATTTAACATCATTTTTGATGTCAGTAGGGCAAATTCAAAGTTGAGGATGGCAAGTATTATGAGACAGGTGAATCACGGCTAGGTGAGCACCCAGACTCACAGGTAATAAATGATCTACATTGCCATTCAGTATGTGTACCACTGTGCTGTTGCTGCCAGCACATCCTTGGACTTAAATGCTTTTCCAGTCAAAGAGTTCGGAGAGACCTGTGTCTCCCCTCAAAATGGTGGCTTACCTGCAGTGTGTCCTGGTTTGGGCTGAAATAGAGTTAATATTCCCTTTCAGGGACTAGATGAGTGCTGTGTTTTGGATTTAGCTTTGGGTTTGGTATGGGAAGAATGCTGGTAGCACACTGGTGTTTTCAGCTGCTGCCGAGACTTCAAGGACTCTCCGACTGCCCGTGTCCTGCCCGTGCGCCAGGGCACAGGGAGCAGGGAGGGAGCACGGCCACAGCACCTGACCCAAACTGGCCAGTGAAATATTCCATATCATGGAATGTCATGCTCACTGTATAGAGGATGGGTGGCTGGGAAGGGGCTCTCTCTCTCTCTCTCTCTCTCACTTCCAGGATTGCGATTGTGGGATCTTGGTATCTCGGGGTCGCCGGCCGGGAACGGGCTGGGGGTTGGTCAGCGGGTGGGGAGCAGTTACGCTGTACATCGCCTGGTTTGTATATTTCTTTTGTTTTCCCCCCATCATCGTTATTGTTCTCGTTTTATTGCCATTATTAAACTGTTCCTATCTCAGCCTGCGAGTCTCCCCTCCCCCCTCTGATCCCCTCCCCCATTCCCAGGTGGGGGGGGAAGGGAGGGTGACCACCTGCGGGGGTTGGCTGCCCACCAGGCCCAAACCACAACACAGTGTTACACACAGTTGAGATCTTCAAGACTCAGGCGCTACGTTGCACGCAGTTAGGAGCACGTTTACAGCCTCAGAAGCCCCTCGGGCAGTCACTGTGCTTCCTGTCACATCATTCGACCTCACTGACCAGGAGCGAGGGTCTCATTTTTAGCTCAGGCGGATAATGCCTCTGGTCTGTCACAGCTGGCCTTCAGTCAGTAATGCCTTGGTGAACGTACAGTCAGAACATTCCAACCGATCAGCTCATCACACAGTGCCCTGCAGAGCAGGGAAAGCTGGTGTCTCCCTAGCAGAACTCCTCCAGTCCACACACCTATCTGTCCAGCTTCCAAAGACTTACCCTGCTTGACAAAAGAAGCACAAAATGTTAATACATCTGGTGGAGAGCCTGATGCCAGACTACTGTTTTCTTGAAAGTGCCTGTCAGCGATGGCCTTTTCTGAGTCCGTTTCTCAGTAGACATTGACTAACAGTCAAAAACATCCCAAAAATAAGCAGCTCTCAAGGAGTTCAGTTCAGGGGAGCAACAGACACCTTTTTTTTTTTTTGTTGTTCCCTCAAGCAGCCATAATTTTTCATCTCAGAGCCAAATCAAAGCTGTCTGTAGAAGAACACATTTCTGTCCCAGCAGCTGTAAATCAGAAGCCGGAGTGGAATTTTTCAATAGTTTGCATCCAACCTGCAATAAGATTCTGGAATTCTGCTTCCTGATCATGCAGAAGAAACAGTCTGTTGGTGGGAAAGCTAGCTGGCCTAGGCTACTTAGCGAGGATCTTTTGATCTTCTTGTTCTCTGGGCCAGGTGCCCTCCCGTTCTTCCCGAGTATCACTGCCTGTGACAGCGTCATCTATAGCACTGCTTAGCCACAGCCTCTTCCTTATACCGTTCAGAATTAGAACAGCCTGTTTCAGTTGGAAGGGACCTACAACAGTCATCCAGTCCAACTGCCTGACCAATTCAGGGCTGACCAAACGTTAAAGCATGTTATTAAGTGCATTGTCCAAACGCCTCTTAAACACTGACCGGCTTGAGGCACCGACCACCTCTCTAGGTGGCCTGTGCTCCAGTGTTCTGTCACCTTCTCGGTAAAGAAATGCTTCCCAACGTCCAGTCTGAACCTCCCCTGGTTCATCTTCGAACCATTCCCACGTTTCCTATCACTGGATTCCAGCGAGAAGAGCTCAGCACCACCCTCTCCCCTTCTCCTCAGGAAGCTGCAGAGAGCAACGAGGTCTCTCAGCTTTACTACAGCACTTTTTCACTCCTAGCACGCCCTGTGATAGAAATACTGTAATTATACAGCACACAGAAGTAGCCCTACTTTCTCTTTCCGAATTCAATAATTTCGTGATGTTACAAGATCACCCGCAGGGCTGGCAGTAGTGGTAAAGGTAGAGAAGTTCTAATGCTGAACTCACTTGAGCTTTGACAGGATCAATATCAGCTGTTGGCCTCTCAGTTGCTCTAGTTTACGTATCAGTGAAACCTTGCGCTAATACACGAGCTAGTGCTGGCCCTACGTGAGATCTTCTACTACTTTCACTGCAAGTCATTTCTAGTCAGGCTCTACAGAAAGGTTTGGGTTTGGTTTTATTTTTTTTTTTGTATTTCCTTTTATACATTTTAGCCATTTTCACTCACTGCAATGGTTTAGCTTCTAAGCTGAAACAGTACGTGGCTACCAGGCAGAATAATCATAGGAATGTGAGCTTGATGGGAGTCCCTGAGGTCAACTACTACTTTAGCTGACTGCAAAACTCATGAGATAAGATTTTTGCTGGGCTAGTGAAGAGTTCCCTGTAACTTCATGTTACTATCCTAATTGCTTTGGCAAAATCCTCCAGCCAAACGGATGCAAGGGGAGAAAAGGAAAGCGCTGCATTTCCAGTACTGACTCCTTACAAATCTTCTTATCCTAGGAAAATGTCCTTTTTTCTACTGTTGTTACTGTTACTATATTCTGTAAGCTCTCACTAATACTAGTGAAAATGGGCTTTGAGCTGCCCTCAAGCATGCTTATTCTCATTTCATAGCACACACTGAAGTTATGTTCGGATAGTTATTTGGTTAGCTGTGTTTTGTGCCGAACATACAGTCAGTACAAGAGACCTGGTAGTCTAATCTGTAATACCGCTTTAGAATGGGAAACTGTACAAAACCCCTTTTCTCTCTTTCTTTTACACATATGATGGGACTATTTTACTGGGATGGTATCCTCCT